GTATCAGCCCTGAAAGAAGCAGCAGCATAAAACTGCATTTGACCTTTTTATGTGGACAGTACAAGACACAGAATTGTCTTGGCAAGATGCTATTGGACACTTTTTGACTTGATATGAAGCTGCTTTTGTACAATGTATATTCCCTGTAATACCCAGCCAGCTAAAATGTTTAATCTGGAGCTGACCTCCAGAAACATGTACCTCTTTACTCTTCAATTTGCCTTGTTCATTCAACATTTAGCACTGGCATTTATGTTCTATGTATTGCCATCCCACCTGAGTTCCTATTACAAACTGGTAGGCAGGCAGTGAATATCTCCTTGCAATTTTTCTTGTTTTATTTCCATTGAGGTTCTGGAAGTGAACCCCAAAGTGAAGAAGATAAAGAATGAGAATTCAAAGAAGAGGCTATCTGTTGAAAGAATCTATCAGAAGAAATCTCAATTGGAGCATATATTGCTTCGACCTGATACGTACATTGGATCTGTGGAGCAAGTAACTCAGGTAAAAAAAAATCTGTTTGCGGCAAAGACAAGTTGCCCTGATTCCCAAAGTACTTTGTAATGTGCTATCAAAATTATAATTAAGGTTTCCCTTGGCAAATTATATTTTATCAGCCAAATAGTTTACAATTTCTTATATAGAAAATTCATTACAAACCGTTTATGATTAATCTGAACACAATAGGCTATACATTTATGAAAACTTAAAAGTATGCTTTTTACAAATCAGACTTTTATGAAACATTAAAATTAATACACTGATTATAGTATATATTTCTGGGTACCTCAAGATTTTGCAGCAGATAAATAAAATTACTTTTTTCTTAGCAAATGTGGGTGTTTGATGAAGAGGAAGGACTGAATTGCAGGGAGGTCACCTTTGTTCCTGGCCTTTATAAAATCTTCGATGAAATACTAGGTATGTTGACATGTGGATAAAATGCTTTCATAGTGAGGGCATCAAGCATTTTAGGAGGATTTTTTTTAGATCCATTGTTGATGAACAATAATATACAGACATGATACTATTCCGACTAAAATCGGAATTCCGATTTTTGGGGGGAATCAGCCCCCCCTTTCCCCCCCTTTCTTCTCCTCCTTCCCCTCCCCTCGGAGGCCCCCTGAGTCAGGAGTTGCTACTGCCCGGCGCGGCTCCACGTGGCTCCAGTCCCGCGTTGCCTCAGGAAGGGAAAGGCAAAAAGGAAGAGCTGCGGCGGTGCTTTGTAAAGAGGACTGGCGAAGGCGAAGCGGTTTTGCAAACGATTTCTGGCCACCCAGATGTAAATAAACGGTTTTTCCCCGGGAAGCCCATTCTCACGAGTTTAAAAGGCTCATGTAATAATACGCCTTTCTCTCTCTCTCCTCCCACCCCACTAACGGGGCGCGCTTCAACGACTCCTCAGGCCCCTCTCGCTCTTGCAAAAGTGTGAGGCGGGAGTCAGTTGCAGGAAAAACCGAGCCAAGGAGCGGGGACACAAGTCGCAACTGCAAGGCGGGTGGAGGGGGGGAAGAAGACTATTATTCCTGTTATTCTTATGCTGTGGGGATAGTGAGTGGGTGTTCTGTGTGTGGCCGTGCGCGCGCGCTGATGTCGGGCGAGAGCTGCCTTTGGGGTTATAGAGCCGCCGCCTCTCGCCGAACTACCCACGCCGGATGCAAAAAAGTTCTCCGTGGGGAGGAAAGTAGACCCACGTCACGCCCCGGGTCTCTTCTCCCTCCCCTCCCCCCCCAGCTGCCAGGTGCCTGTGCGATCAGCCCGGAGGAGCCCTGCCGCCTTTAGCCCGCAGCTCGGAGGATCTCATGCAGGGGGGCGAGGAAGATCCCGAAAGCACCAGCTGAGGCTTCTGTGCAGGGAGGGGTTGCTGGGGAAGACCTGGAGGGGTGTGGGGGGGAGAGGAAAGAGAGAAAGGGGGGGTGTTAGTTGAGGTCAGGGCGGGGAGCTGAGCGGATGCTTAGCGGGTGCTTAGGCAACCCCTGTACCCCTGGCTACTTTTCAGATTTTTTTTTCAGAGGGGAATATCATGCCTGAATATACAAAGGTATTGCAACGAATTAGCTTTTTGAATAGGTAACAAAATGTGTACAAAATGCTTGGTCTTGTTTGGCAGAACTTGTTGAAATTCAGTGTTGCATAACTGAAAACTAAATCAAGAGTTTTAACTTGCAAATGTTACCAACCACTAAAAAATTGTATTGCTTTCTTTTAGTCAATGCAGCGGACAATAAACAGAGAGATGAAAATATGTCTTGTATTAAAGTTACAATTGACCCGTAAGTCTTGCTTTAATATTTAATATTTCTGACTTTCATTGAGGATTAGTTCATTAGGAAAGGAATGTGAAACTGAATCTGTATTCTTGTAGATTTAAATAATAAGTGTAATGATTAGCATAGAATTTGACTTTCCGATCACATTTAGCGTAACTGAATTTGCTGTTGAGAGTTGCCTATTGTTCAGTGAATAATATTTTTTTCTTTTTTTATCTGGAGAGACAAAAAGTTTGCTTTGGACTTCTTTGGATATCAGTTTAATCTTCTCTTTCTAGAGAAAATAACACAATCTCTGTGTGGAATGATGGGAAAGGAATCCCTATCGTTGAGCATCAAGTAGAAAAAATGTATGTGCCAGCTCTTATTTTTGGACATCTTTTAACCTCCAGCAACTATGACGATGATGAGAAGAAAGTCACAGGTTGGGAAAAAACTGCAAGGCGTCACTTTCAAAAATCTTTAATTGCCTCTCATGAGAACAATTGCATCTAAAATTTCACATTTATGTTTCTACTAGAGCAGTGGTCCCCAACCTTTTTTGTGCCAGGGACCAGTTTCACTCAGAAACACTTTTTCAAGGACCGGGGGGGGGGGGGGAGTCCGAGTTTGGTGGTTTGCTTGCAGACGTTCCATTATCTGACTAGGTAACATCTGATGTTGTTACCTAGTCGGGTAATAAAACGTCTGCCAGCAAACCACCAAATTCAGGGAACGCCAATGCCTCCTCATTGCAAACCTGAGCGACAGATAGTCCCTGCAGGACGGCTGAGAAGCCTCGCCTCTCGGCCCTGCCTTCATCAGCCCCATCCCTCAAGTGTCTCCCTGCCTCCCTCAGCCTCATCCCTCAGGTGTCTGCCTCGTTCCTCTCTCAGTCACTCTCTCACTCCTCCACCAGCCCAGGAAGAAACTGCTTCAAAGAAGCCTGCAGGGTGGCTTTTCCTGTCGGCGCAGCTTCCCCAAAGCGCCCGTTCACCCCCACCTCGCCGCCCACGGTTCAATCCAGTGCTCCGTTCTGCCTGTCTGCCTTCGTTTCTGGTGGTTTCGGAGCGCAGCTTCTCCGAAGCACCCGTTCACCCCCGCCCCGCCCCGCCGCCCGCGGTTCAATCCAGTGCTCCGTTCTGCCTGCCTGCCTGCCTTGGTTTCTGGTAGTTTCGGAGCAGCTTCGGCTGAGAAAAAGAGGCGAATAGTTATTATTCTCAGCCGAAGCTGCTCCGAAACTACCAGAAACGAAGGCAGGCAGGCAGGCAGAACGGAGCACTGGATTGAACCTGGATTGATTGGCGGCGGGGTGGGGGTGAAACGGGCGCTTCGGAGGAGCTGCGCCGACAGGAAAAGCCACACACACACCCCCCCCCGGCTTCTTTGAAGCAGTTTCTTCCTGGGCTGGTGGAGCAGCGAGAGAGCGACTGAGAGAGGAATGAGGCGGGAGGAAACCGAAGCCGCTGAGCCAGAGAGCAGGACAGGCTTCGGTTGCTTCCTCCCTCCCCTTCTCTCATTTGTGTCCTTGATCCCCGATCCCAGCAGCATTCACCGAAGGCGAAGAAAGCCGCCATTTTTTTAAAAAAATTTTTTCCTTTGCAGCCCGGTACAGAGTGCTCCACGGACCGGTACCGGTCCGCGGCCCGGTGGTTGGGGACCCCTGTACTAGAGAACTGCAAGATGTGAATGATCAGGAAATCAAAACTTTATTCCATATATGTTCTGTTTCTATATTCCAATCTCTTTCACACAAAAAATACATATAAGTGAAGCATCTTACGAATTTTTTATTGCTTGCACTGGAATGAGTGGTAACTAAATAAGAGATCAGAAAATGTAGATTATTTAAAATAGTATATATTGATTTTTACCATTTGCCTTATTGCGGAGATCGAGAACTGCCCCCATCTTGATCCTTTCACCGTTTTTTTTTTTTTTTTAAACAAGTTTTGTTAATTTTTAAAACACACAAATTATCATTATTCATTACATGTTTAAACCTTTTTCCATTGTAAATTTAACAAGTCAGATAAATTATAATTCTGTTTTAAACCATTTCAATATAACATACAAAAACCTCTTATTCAATTTCTCTTTACTTCTCTTTACTCTTATTCAATATCATTATTATTATTTCATCTATTTCTTTCTGACTTAGTTACCATTATTCTCATTCTATATTTCTGAACACACAAAACATAAAAAAAATCTTTTTGGAAAGTAACTTGGACCCAGGTGTCTCTCTCTTCATGGACTTCAATTATCTTCATGCTCATCTTACATATCATTACTTATTTTATTTACCATTCTAAGTCTTCTATATTAACTTCTCCACATATTTCACTCTTCTTAATTCTATCTTAATTAATCATCTTAGTTTGAATCATTATATTTGTATCTTTTGTCCATTTTTTATCATCCCTTTGTCTCATTCCTTATGAAAAAGAAGAAAATAAGTTTCTCCTGAAATCATTAATCAGAGTATGATGCCTTTCTATCTCCCCCCTAAATTAATCAAATTAACCTTTAAAATAACATCCAATACCCAATCCGATTTTGCTTGGTACATTCTATCTAACTAGTACATCCAAAATAATTAAATACATAATTAGACAATAAATCCAAATATTAAAAACAAATACTATAATAAAAATTTTATAATAACATCAATACCATAATCTTATTAAACTCTTTAATTAAAAACAGTATTCTCCCTATTATTAAATTTTAAAGCCAATCATTATTAAACATTTTAACATTTTAATCTCTTATCAACTCTTAAACCATTACAATACTACCATCTCATCTTATGTACCTTGCAAAATCTTTTTGAAAAAATTATACTTTATCCATTATCCATAAAAAATTCCTTTTTTTCATTTAATTTCAAAACATTGTAGCTTTTCTCCACCTTTTCCCTTTCTTTCTTCTCCCAACAAACCTTTCTACCCCCCCTTCTTCTAGCCTCTGCCTTACTGGCTTCCCTTCTCTGTCGTGTTCCTTTTCCCTTTTGTTTACTATCATCATATTGATTTTGCACCTTATTTTTCCCTTTCTTAAATGTTTTTTTAGATCTTAAGTCCTTTAGTTCTCTTCTTTTCTCTCTTCCTTCTTTCTTGATCAAATTCTGAGATTCATTAAAAATGGCTCCTTCCTTTCTTTCTTGTTCCTCTGCTGTCTTCATCTGTTGTAATGTTTGTTGATAGTTAGTAAGCGCCATTTCTAAAAAAAGGAAAGCTTCTTCCACACCATCTTTACCATTTTTTTTTGCTTGTTCATATTTTTTTCTTAGTTCCTCAACAGAGAAAGCCATTATAAATCTTTTCTTTTCTTTTCCCCTTCTTTCTTCTTACAACAACCAGAGTATTCCAAAGAAAATAAAAAAAATAAAGCAGTCCCAAAGTTATCAGTCAGTCCAAACCAAGGCAGAGTTCTCACTTTCTCCTTCTGGGGTAATATCAATCAAAGAGAAAGAAAGTCCAAATCTGTTTAAAATCTTATTGCAATATATTCTAGTCTTCAAATCCTTAAGGCATCTCCTCCAACAAAGTCTTAGCATACAAATATTTTCTTTTTAATCCTCTCTCTTCCCACTCATCGCTTAAAACCAATTTTCACCTAAAAAAAATAGGTTTCTTAATATCCAATTATTTATTCCGTAGGAAAAGAGGGTAAGCTATCCTTTCAGCACCATCAAACTGCCGCTTTTTTCCTCTTCTGGCAGGTATTATTCAGAAAGTCATACTTTTCAGGAATTTTATTAAATATGTCTTAGAGTCCTAGGAGCCAAGAAAAACTTTCTCCTTTCAAGCACTTTCTCCACTTCCTCCTGCGCATTCTTACCCGGCTGCCAGCTTCTTTGTGGCGGCCATTACGGACCGCCGCTGCACCGTCCTGGGAAAAGGGGGTTCTACCGGCCGGGGAGGGGGTCTGCAACACCCCCAAACCCCTCTCCGGATCCCCCCTACCTTCAGCTGCCCCTGCAGGGCAGCCTAGCTCCGTACCCGTCTGGGTCGGAGCCCCAAAAGCGGCTAGCGCGGCAGGGATCACGCAGCTTCGCAAATCCCTGCCGCTCGCGAAGCCGACAAACTGGAAACCGATCCTTTCACCGTTTTTTGAATGCAATAAAGGGGCAAGCAATGCTCTCTCTTTACAAAAAGGCGACCATACATTTTTGTCTGCGAACGGATATGGAGTGCCTAATTCTTTCTACAAATACCACTGCGTGCATGCTTATTTGTGAAATGTTCTATTGGTTTTAGTGGGGGATTACGAGTAAGCATATGTACCCTGTAACTGAAATGTATATCTCTTCAGTGTTACAAAATATTATATGTAATTAATATTTTTCCAGGTGGTCGAAATGGTTATGGTGCAAAGCTGTGCAATATATTCAGTACCAAATTTACAGTGGAAACAGCATGCAAGGAATATAAGAAGCTTTTTAAACAGGTATAAGAAACTGCGCCAAAAATTTGATTTCATTGTTTTTAAGGGACAGCCCCAAAGCTTAAGCTCCTAAATTTGTTTCATATTTGATTTTTAATCCATTTCAACATCTCAATACTTCCTGATAAGCGTATCTCAAATATTTAGTGATAAGCATAAGGGATGAAATTAAGATAGTTTGGGCCAGCAAGGAACATATATTTTAAGCCTAGATTTAAAAATGTATTCTGTAGAACACGGGTGGCATCATGTGACATGACATTTTTTTCCCTTCGTAGATCTGCGTGTCACGCATCTGGCCTACAGGCCACAAGTTTGACACCCCTGCTGTAGAAGAAGAAATGTATCCTCCCACTAATGTATCTAATAATTCTATTGGTCTTAATTCCTTTGCAGACATGGACTGAAAATATGTCTAAAGCAGGAGAGACAAAATTGAAGCATTTTGTTGGCAAGGACTTCACATGTGTTACTTTCCAGCCTGACCTGTCCAAATTTAAAATGACTGTATTGGATAAAGATACTGTGGCTCTTATGTCTCGCAGAGCCTATGATATTGCAGGAACAGCTAAAAATATCACAGTATTCTTAAATGGAAAGAAATTACCTGTGAGTTACTAAAATGGGCAAAAGAAACTGCCGGTGTGCAAAATTCACTGGTCCCTTCCTTTTAACATGTTAACAGCCAAGAGAACTTTAAAAAAAAATGTAGAAATGTTTGCACTTTGTCTCCTCTGTAGGTCAAAGGATTCCGTAGTTACGTAGACATGTACATAAAAGATAAAGTGGACGACACTGGCAATGCACTGAAAGTAATCCATGAAAAAGTTAATGACCGGTGGGAAGTGTGTCTAACCATGAGTGAAAGGGGTTTCCAACAAGTTAGTTTTGTCAATAGCATTGCAACGACTAAGGTAAACAGTTACAAAGGTCTATAGGGCTTTTGTGAATCTGTCATCTAATCATACTTTATCAAAGCATTCAGTGAAGAAAAACCTTTCTTACTTGGCAATTCTGCATTTTGTGTTTTATTAAACCTAATCTTACTGTAGTTTAGAACTAAAATACATAGATTATGTAATATGATCTCAAGGTCATGTTGCAAATGGACTCTACTTGTAGACTTTTTGGGGTTGGAGTTATTTTTTCTCAAGCTTTTCTTTAACAATTAACAATGTAGAGAAATTGTAATAAAGAAATGATTGAATGGTAATCAAGTCAGAGAGAAATAGATGATAATTATAAATTGGATAAATATAGAGAAAAATAATAATAATAATGAAATTGAATAAGAGTAAAGAGAAATAAGGAGAAATTTGATAAGAGATATTTGTATGTTCATATGGAAATGGTCTAAAATAGAATTATGTTGTATTAAATAATGTTTTATTTGGCTTGTAAAATTTATAATGGAAAGAGGTTTATGTATTTAATGGTTAATGATGGTTTGTTTGTCTTTAAAATTAATAAAATTTGTTTTAAAAAAAATAAAGAAATGATTGAGTATAACAAGAAATTCAAGTAGTCCTCAACTTAAAACAGTTCATTTAGTGACCGGCACTGAAAAAAGTGACATGACCAGTTTTCACAGTTACGACCAGAGGTGGGATTCAAAAATTCCAGCAACCAGTTCTCTGCTCGGTTGCTGGGTGGGCGTGGCCTTCCTTGGGGGCCGTTTTTTGCCTTCCCCGGAGCCTCCAAATGAGCCCTGCACTTACCTGCATCCAAAACGGGCTGCATGGAGACTGCGGGGTGGGGCCAGCCAGTAGATTCAACTACCAGTTCTGCGAATCAGATGTAAATTTACCATGAATCCCACCCCTGTTACGACTGTTGTAGCATCCCCATGGACATGTGATTAAAATTCAGGTGCTTGGGCACTTGATTCATATTTATGATGGTTGCAGTGTCCCAGGGTCATGTAATCCCCTTTTGCACTTTCCAAAAAGCAGATTCACTTAAAAATCTGGCTAACAACTACAGTCATTAACTTAACGGTGGCAAGAAAAATTGTGAAATGGGGCAAACTCACTTAACGAATGTTTCACTTAGCAACAGAAATTTGGGGCTCAATTGTCATAAGTTGAGGACTACCTGTATAGCAAACTCCTAATAAAACAGATTTTACAGAATAAAAGCCTAACTCTATTTTAGGTTACTGTACTAGCAACTGCTTTGTTGTTACTACTGTGTCTGCATTGCCAAAATACATGTAATGTCCTCTAAAATATTGACTTTTTTTTCTAGGGTGGCAGACATGTAGACTATGTTGCTGACCAGATT